CGTGGAAGCGCGGCATGAAGAAATGCACGGAGCGATTAGGTAGAATCGATGTCTCCCGTCTTCCAGGTTGGAGTCCGAAAGACTACAACTGGTTGGCTGGAGACATTAAAAGATATGGCGACTGACCGACAGCAGTGGCGCTCTTGTCATTTCTTAACAAGGCAGAATGCTTGAAATAAGGTATGTATGAACACTTAGATTGTGTGCTCTGTGTTGAACATAGAGGTTATTTTTATTTGCCTCCCTCCAAATAGGCCCAATTCCTCTCCATCTTTTGCTTTATCACTTGATTTGTGTACATTGTGATCTTGACAGCGATCAGTGAAGCTCGCTTCACTGTATCACGCTGTACGATGATGATGATAATGACACCACTCTTTACAGATAGGGCGCCGAATAACAATGGGTGAACGAAAAAATATAGGTACAGAAGCGGGAAAAACAAAACAGTCAACTTCGAGGGGGCGGGGGTAACAATTTTTGTTTGTTTGTTTACTGCACGCCATTTTGAGGATGTTTTCGGTTTTGTCTATTTTTGGGATTGCAGTTAAGAGAGGATGCATTCGCGCCACTAATTTTGGTTCGATATCATATCCATAGTGTCTCCAGCCAAAGACAATCTGAATCTTTGGGGCCCCAGCCGGGGAGCCCAGAAACCCCAACGGAAGCCAGATTCGTGCATAATCTCTTTAATTCCCTGCGCCACGTCATAGCCTACCTACCTCGCTGTTTCTTCCAGTCTGGACCGATGTTTGTGAATAGTGCACGGTGTGGCAGACGGTGCTCGCATTCGTAGGACGTGCTCTAGCCACCTAAGACGATGTGAAATTATTTTGCTCAAAGGAAGACTATCTGGTTCTAGCACCCGTCGTTTGACTTCATTATCCAAGCGATGCTCCCACAATACACGGGCGATGTTGCACAGACTGCGGTTGTCGAAGACTGATAGTCGCTGGACGTGATCTGCCCGGAGAGGCCAGGTCTCAGCCATAGAGCAACACGGTGCGTACCGTTGCGCAATACACCTCTTTTCAGTGAAAGGGATATATTGCACCGGCGCCAGAGATGCCGCAGATTAATAAACGCTAATGTAGCTTTGAGAGATCTCGCGAATACCTCCGCTAGCCGTTATGCAACTCCCAAGGTAGACAAAGCTTTCGACTACTTCCAGAGTGTCATTACCCAACGAAAGTGCAGGAATGGGTTCCTGCCAATCTGGCAACAATACTTTGCAATTTGAAGGTGCAGATGACATGCCGTAGCGAGTGACCTCAATTGCCAAACGATTCAACGACTCTTGAATCGTTGTTGCGTTGTCACCCAGTAAGGCAATATCATCGGCGTACTCTAAGTCTACTACTCTGTCCCCAGGAAGAAGCTCGACGCCAGCATTCGTTAAGTTATGTAACGCGTTTTGTAGGACATCATCTATGGCAAAGTTGAGGAGAAACGGAGAGATAGAGCAACCTTGTCGCACCCCACTGGTGACAGAAAATGAGGGTGAAAATTCACCATGGGCCCTAACATTCCCCGCGGTCTGGTGATTGAACGCTTTTAGGAGTGAGACATACTTCTCGGGTACTCCGTATCTCCGCAAACAGTTCCATAGTGCGCGGCGATCGATAGAGTCGAAAGCCGGTCTGATGTCTAAAAACACAATCATGGTTTGTCGTCTGTATGCGTGGCGCTGTTCTAGTAGCTGACGGGGGTGGATGGGTGAATGTGATCTATGCATGCACGAAACCCGGCCTGCTCCTCGCTTATTTGCTTCTCACGTAATGGGCTTAACCTGCGTAATAGAACGGACGCCAGAAGCTTCGGCGCTATTAGAATCAAACTTATGCTCCTGTGGTTGGAACAGGCGTTGCGACAGCCCCTCTTGTAGCTGGGTGTGACAATCGATTCTCCCTATGTGTGGGGAGACATCAAAGTTGTGCATGAAATCAGCCACACTTCCTATTATATAAACTTTTGGAAAGGCCTATTTCAGGCTCTTGGCTGAATAGATATTCCTACGTTACTAAATGAAACTAAGTCTGGAATTCATCTGTAAATTGCACATGATAATCCCTCGGCTATCTGCCTGCGTCTTGCATTGCAGTGTAATAAACCTCTATCGACTATCCTGTTGTTACGTTAGTTTCAACATCCATCGCAGTTTGACACCTAATATTATTATTATTATTTTACCTATCATACAGATGTTCACTTGTGTTCCAATGGTTATATTTATTTCAGGCATCCATCGCCATCAACTGTTGCACCTAGTTTGCGTTGTTCTGTGGCCAACACCTCTGGACACTCAACGATTGATTCCGTTGATGTTTGGGACGATGAGTCGTCAGCATTGCCCCGCAACACAGCGAATATGGTAATTAATTTTCTTCGTTGACAGCCTAATTGTTGTTACAAAGGATTATCATTTAAGGAGTGGTGAAAACTAGCTGAACAATTAATGAAATCATTTGACACGTCACTTTCTGAGGTTCGTAGGTTCCAATGAAAAATGCAGTGGGATAGTCACCCGGTTTGGCGATAGAACGGTTGGATCTTAATCCTACAGTTCGGAGAGAAATTGAACACCACATCCTTCCCGCAGAAATCCGTTAGTTTACTTTACGTTTTAACTGGCACATACGTAAAAGTATCCTACTTCTTTGTTAAAATCAAAAGGATTGGTGCAGTTATTTAAATTTCGTTCAACCAATTAGGCTGCTGCATTTTGGCACATTGCCAAGTAGTCGCACTGCTTGTCTGGCTACGGAAACATAAAAAAGCAGGGTAGTGGATAATAATGTACATTTCACCACGTTGATTGTCCTCTCGCTTAGATACACTTGTTTGATCAAAGAAAAACCGTAGCGGGTTGATTCACTGGCATAATTTTTGCATTCGTATGTCTTGCGTGTGTGCGTGTGGACACACGTGCGCCTGTGCCATTATCCATCTGCGTCTGTCACGTTCCATCTGTTTTGCTTGTCTCCATGCTGTTTTGCCATTGGTTGTTGGAATCCAAGTCGCAAACGGCACTTCTTTTGCGCTTCGTAGTTTACCAATCACCGTTTGGTTTTTCTTTCACCTTCGTGTACTCAGCTCCTTTGCGCACTAGTCACTCGTGGCATGTGCATGCTGCCGCAATGTTGTTGAATTTGCATATATTTGCAGTCTTTTAGCACCTTGCTGTGCCTATGTTGTAAATTCTATCAGCAGCGCAAGTACTTGGCTTTGCTACGGAAAAGTTTGTATTGACAATTTTTTGCTTTAACATTCTTTTCAACAGCCTCCGGTGATCTCTCTCCCACACCAGTCTTCCGAGGTTGTTATACAGTCTCCAGCATCTATCCTGTCGGGCAGTGACTCTGATCCCGAAAGTGACTCTAGCAACCTAAAGGAAACAGCCGTTCTACGGAGTCGATTGTGTCGGAAAACCAGCAGCTCCAGCAGTGGCCGAGGACACAGTCCAACTCAAACGTTAACTGCACCCGGTGCATCTGTCACTTCTACTCCACCCAGTCTCTCAGAGTCCCCACCCCTCATTCCATCTTCGTCTGATCCATTCAGAACTGAAAAGCGTTCTATGGCCCCACAGGACGCCGCTTGTCAAACAACAGAAGATGCATTTTCTGGATCTCCTCAACCATGTGTCAGTCAGAAGCATTCATCGAAACATACCCGCGACACTCATACAAATGTTCGTGGAAGTCAAAGTTCCATGGCGACCACGAACAGTATATTGGCCTGGTCCGCTGATCACCATTCTCGCTTGAAATCAAAATTATTCCGGGAACACGAAAGTTCCACTGTGTCGGTACTGTCATCTAGTCTTATATCAAAACCGTCGACGCGGGGTTGTGTTGGTCCAAGTCCTTCAGCATCAGTGCTTTTCGCACGTACTGAAGGATTCTCTCGTGCTCTCAAGCGACGATTAGACTATCTCAGGTGAGATTCTGTCTATTATGCCGCTTCTATCGTTGAATTAACCTCTGATTGCGCGTTTGGCAATGCACATTTTTGTTAGAGTTTCCTAAAGATACATTGTGATAAGTCCGTTTGTGCCTATCGTTGAATATTCCACTACACGCAGACTCCAGTTGTATTTTAAATTCACGTAACAGATTGGTTACTCTCTGATTTTATTCTCATGCATTCGGTACGCAGTCTCCATAGATGAGGCGTTTCCGTTCCTACCTCGATCTGCAATACTGTTGTACGAGGAGTTGTCTTGTTATTATCCTAATGCCTAAGGATGATTGACCAGACCGTTTTCAGTTTCGCAGCCACGTTTTATATGATGGCAGCAGCTTGATAGAAATAAGTTACTTGTAGGCCGAGGGGTATCAAATCTCGATCAGCGTTCTCACTTCATCGGCTGTCATTTATTTTTCCATAATCGTATTGATCGTTATTTTCGGCTTTTGCATTTTCGTCCTAACAGTGATATCCGTTTGTTGAAATGAGGACATGAGATTTTTACAAGCATTGGCCCGTCCCTTTGAGTTACGAACGCCACTGTCTTCGATGGAGTGCCGGTATGCGGTGGAAAAGTATCCGCCGCGATGAATTTCATTGTTATCATAAGCTTACGGACATATATATAAGCTTGTATATATTTATCTTACTTCAACACGTAACTAATTACAGAGAACTGGCAAATGTGCCACAACATATGAACAAAAAGATATTTGTAGAATGTGTTCGTTGGTTCTGTAGGCATGTCATCTCGGTTGCCCTGACCGAAGAGAAAGGGGACAACCTCGGGGTCCCCACCCGAAACCTTTGACTAGAAAGCCAAACCTGCAAGACAACAGGACAGAGCTCAGAGTCCGCAGTCCATTGAGGGCCTGTGTCCAGTTAATCGAATCACGCCCTTTGGACGGTGTCAAACATCCAAGGTGCCCGATACACCTCAGTGCCCAATCGAGCCGGTTACCACTCCCACAACCAAGAAGATGTGTGTGTGATTTGTACGCCTCTTGGTTCGTTTGGAATCATGGTTTTTAGCCAACTCCTCTAGGTGAACTGCCAGGGGGTCACCGATCTGATTATAGCCCCGGATGTTGGCTTTTCGCCCCCTCACTTTAATGGGCAAAACAGCGCCACGAGAAGGCAGTGCGTAAGGCTTCCTCAGCATAGGCAGTTGGGGACGTTCAATCTTATAGGGGAGAATTTCGCGTGGTGCATAGGAAGGGTGATCAGCCTAAACCCGAGACACCCACCCCCGACCATATTGAGACTTTCGTAGTTCACCTGCTGGAGTTAGTAAAAAACCGAGATTCCAACCCAACTACAAACCACGCGCATACCTTGCTGGTCACGATAGTGATCACCAGCTCGATTCAGGATCGAGACATTGAACAACTTGGACGTTTGAACCCATCCAAAGGGCGTGATTCGATGAACTGGACACTGCCCCCACCAATGTACTGCGGACTCTAAGGTCCGTCCTGTTGTCTTGCAGGTCTGGCTTTCTAGCCAAAAGCTTCCGAGTGGGGACTCCGAGGTTATCCCCTTTCTTCGATCAGGGCAACCGGGAAGCGACATACCCACACAGCTTATAGACAGAGTTTTTATGTTGTGCACATTTGCTAGTTCTCTGTAACTGGTTACGTGTTGAAATAAATAAATACAAGCCGACTGCGAAGGCAGACAATGTGGCTATTCCTAATTAGCTGCATGAATTTGTGGAACGGAGAATGTTTGATTTGAAATTTAATGTGAGAAAAATTCACGTTGAAGAGGACTAGACATAAGTAGGGTTTTATCGACAATCATGAGAATACGATTGTAACAGCCCCAAGCACAAGATTAGAACTCAAGTAGATACCAAGGGATTAGTAGTCATGTGTCAAGACCAATGCAAGTGTAGTGAACGTAGGATGAAGAAGGCTACAAGTGGAATAATGTTATCGGCGAAAGCGTGGCTAACAATGAAAGTTGACAACAGAAGGTTAACAATGCGGATCAGAAAAAGTGCGAAAGTACAGAACCTTGGGAGACACCAGAGTTCACAGGAAAGGAAGGATACAGGGTCCCGTTCACACGCGCATGGATGTTTCAAGTCGTTGAGGGAACTTTCTCTCCATTGTAAGAGGTGTGGAAAAAACTACTGATCGCGGTGATCATTATAAAAACGTACCAAGCGGAAAGAAAGCTTCCAGCGGTTTTGGTTCCTTCCTTTGTTTACCCATCTGCTCATACTGTGAGAGAAAGATCAAGATGTAACGGCGCACCGATAAAGGAAGGTAAAAAGGTGTGGACTGTGTAGAAGAGCCAAGCACGTAAGGCAAATGCGGCCTTAGTGGTTGTTACATGATCCACATCATTGAGGTTGTATTATCATGCGAAGTCTTAGTCGGATCACACAACCTTGCAATCGCCAACAGTCTTCACCTGCCATACACTAAGGAATTCTTTCAGGAGATATGCATGACACGCCACCATAGGCTTCGTAATCCACGACGGGATTTCCTCTTTCAGTAAAAATATTATTTTCCCTCCTGCCTCGAAAGATCGAAGTGTGGATATCCGTGTTTGAACAACGGACGACAGTCTGTGTGTAGCGACCATGTCTGCACCATTCATTAGAACCGGCTGCATTGATGCAGCATACATTGGATCATTCACGAATGAGTGGTCTTGATGGCGATACCACGATATTGGGGTGCGCCGAACCGGTCTTTTCTAAGTCAGAAAACAATGTATCTGAGTCTCTTCCATCAGGAAATATTTCGCTGGCAAATCAGTAAGGCTTGTCTAATTTCTGCATCAAGAATAAAGGTCAGGTCTGGAGCGGTGCTTTTGGCCTGCAACTTTGAATTTCGTCCCCAGCAAATCGTAAAAACGCCGGGACTCTAGTCACCGGTTGGCTGACAGCCAATGGTACTTGAGTTTGCTAACGTGCTCTTTTCAAACGACCGGGAAAGTGGGTTCGACACATTCGTCGTACACAAACTCTTCTATTCAGTCGTAAATCCGAACTCACCTCCCGGAGGCACAATGCACTGAATATCTCAACTTCACTCAAATCTCATAGATATTACAGTCTGAATCGTCTGGCTTATGGATATAAATGAGACTATTTTTGTCTCGCTGCAATCGGCCAACCGGTTAGTCTCCGCAGTTACACCAGGGTCCTCTTGATCTTTTCTCGTCCGCCTCGCTTTCAGCTAGTCTTATCAGGCATTTGTCCTCAGACCTCGAATCTATATTTTCTAGTCATCCTTTCCCCAGGACTGTGACATTGTGGAATACTGCCCATCTCCGTGTCTCTCAAACCTCATAATGTTACTCTTCAAAAGCGGGATTAACAAACTGTTTCTCACCTGAATGCTCTACCACATACCTTCCCCCTTGCAGTATGTCATTCTGTATGTAGTTTACTCCTGCGATAAATTACTGCGTGTTATAAAAGATCACGAGGCTCTGAACTCATGGCCCATGGTGCACTTTTATTTTTCATTGCACTAATTAGTGTGGTGAACAGCCACAATTCCATAGTCACCAAAACCTAAGTTTTGTGACTGGGAATAATCAATTGCCGCCAAACCGCCAGCACCCTACCTTCACTAGGTGATCTTGCGCCTCTGCGTTTTACATCCCACTTATCGTACCCGGGCTAATGGAAATGGTGCCACCTAGGACTCAGTGCTGTGACACCATTTACACTGTTTTTATCCCTACCAGCTTCCTTGACTTGTAGCGTAATCCTACGTTCCATAGAATTAACTCACCGGACATGACTATTTGCCTACATGTCTCTCGAATTTTATCCCTCTTCTATGATTTAGGATTTCGAGTGACTTTCTTTGTTGGTAATTCTTACTGTTGAGTTTCAACCATTTTCTGCCATTTCTTCTGTTTGCGCGCACTCATATGCTCGCACATCCAATCTTATCATTTTGCACGCCGTTGGTCTAATCGCATTTCGGGAGTTGCCCTGGTTTTCGGACTTCCGTGTGTTCCACGATCTCTGACCATAGGACTAATCCATATATGAACGTGTGTGTTCACACAGATGCGTACATCCGCGATCGTGATGTGCCATCGGTTGTTTCCTGCTTCCCTTTTCGATCGGGAATGATGGTATACATACGATGGTCATAAAACGGGTTCCGTTACTAGCTAGCGCACCGGGGCAGCGAAACGACCGAATACAGTCAATGATTGGTCAATGTTCGATCCGTCCCACTTTCGGGGCGATGTGCATATTGATTTTTCCGTATACCTGACTTAATTCCGCTGTAGCTGCCTGAGGAGACACGTTGAATGAACGGGTGGTTTAGTGGTTTAGTCGCTGTCACCGGCGTGCTTTGGACCCTATAGTCCGAGGTCCGATCCCCGACACTACCACCCAACTTTTGTGGTAGGCAGCTTTGCTGTCGTCCGGTTGAATACCACACCTAACCTAACGAGGCCTTGTGTGGTTCGTCACTCGTCTCGGGTTTTAAATGTCTGTGGAGACAATGAATAGACACTGATGTCGATTGCCCTCCAACTACTCCACTGCAGTCCATGTCCCGCCTATCCTTTTGGACTCTAATGTGGTTCGCTCCACTACAGATTTTAGGATCATTATGAATACACAGTATTTGTCCATAACGCGGTTACGAGCTCATACGGTCTGCCTGATTTCCTCATTGTGCTTATCAACTGATCGGACCTTGAAATTTCCGAACTTGGGAAGAGAATATCCAAGTTGATTGTCATGTCAACTTCTCAGATGGGCATGCTGCCCAGCTGACATGAGTATTGTCATAAATTATATGAAACGAGAATGTACTCCCGAGACCACGAGATTTGGCGGTTCGTGTATTCAATGTTGCATCGCGTCGAGGAAACGAAAAGTTTTATCAGCAAACTTGGTATGCAGATTAAGGTAAGTTTCCTGTTTGGGATCGTTGCGATCAGTCTGTCCTACTGTTGGAGACGCTAGATGGTACGCTTCATAATCACCAAGGTTTTTGGACCTAATTATTTCTCCCGCGTGCTCGATTTTCTCTTACACAGTAGCTTTGTTTTGATGGTATCCTACTTTCCTAATCGTTTATTCATAATCTTTTGTTGATTGAATGGTTAAAAAAGTAGTTGAAAGAAAACAATCACAGGAATGCGGGACTCATGATTGCCAACTACAACGAGCTAAGCTGGAGTGCTCCTCGGATACTTATTATTATTATTATTATTATTATTAATGTTTTACTTGTGATGCAGGGGTGGTAACATTGCATCTTTTTATTGTTCCATGTGATTCCTATCACCTTCCGACCACATACATGATCCAAAATGGAGCCCTATTCTGCTGACCGGCGAGAAAGCAGTATCTCGATTTTGTTTCTGTCTTTCCCGTTGTTTATTGATGCTACTGACAGGACTATCATATACCTGATTCCCGTTGTAGAACTATCTTCTGTCGTGCCCACGACGAGGCTGAGGCAGTTGGTCAACTTGTGCAACTAATCGGTTCACAACAGACGGAGACGTTAGAGTTCATGGAACGGTGCTTACAAAAAGGCAAGTGGAGTCAGGAACAGACAGACACGTGCCCGACTATTCCTTCCTCGTTTAAACCATTGGAACAGATGATTCAACATATTTTGGTTGGTATTGAAATCCTGTTGAAACGTCAGGGGTGCTCAACTGAACGGAAACCGGTGCATCATCATAATCACCGTTCGTCCACCCGTTTGCGGTTTCCATCGCGTCGTCGATCGACCGAAAAACCAAGCACATCAGACGCCCGTTTCGCCGCTTCGAAAGTTTCGACGGATAAAAGTCCTCAAATTGTACGGTTCCAAGAGCTAATGGATATGAAGCATAAGTGAGTTTTCATGTATTTACTTTTTATGTTTTGTGGGCGCGTTTGTCCACTGTTCTCTTTTCAAATGTTAAGGCGGTTTTCGTTCATGCCAATAAAATAGGACTAAATAACTGTTTTAGGCTTCAGATAATTTTTTTTACTTGGTCCAATTGTTTCATTGCCTCCTTCCTTAGCTCGGGTTAGTGTGTGAAGGAGAACAGGGGCATTTGGAATGTTCAAATCAGTGTCAGGGCGAAGATAGAGAACTCATGAGTACTACATTTAGTCGGTGCTTACACGAACTCGACAAATAAGCACCGGCGCTTCTTTTTGTAGGTGTTGGCCCACACTGAACCGTCGAGGCGCACAGTGTGGCGCAGTGCCTTATATGTTGTCACCGGCATGCTTTGGACCATATGGTCTGAGGTTCGAACTCCGCCACCCAACTTTAGTGGTAGGCAGCTCTGCTGTTGTCTGGTTCAATACCACGCCTAACCTATTGAGGCCTCGTGTGGTTTGCCACTCCAAGTTCCGGGGCTTAGGTCACCGGTTTCCATCACTGAATAACAGATCCTCTTGACTATAATAATATTAAAAAGAGTCAAGTTAGGACCTGACAGGAGGATATGAAAGCCTCAACCAGGAGTCGCGTACAGTTCCTTGGATGAGACCTTGGGGTCATTCCGAGCGATCGTTAAATACGGTGTGATGGCTGAGTGTCGCAAGCAGTGGCTCCATCATTCTAGCAATCGTGGTCAACATGAATTCTCTATTTTCACGTCGATTGCTCTCAACATCCCATTCTTCCTTTTGTTCTTTTTTATCCGAAAGGACAGTTAAGAGGGAACAACTAAAAAAAGCTACAGGAAGGTGCATAGTTAATGGTTGTAGAAACAAACTGACAACTGCTCCTCCCCGTGTTTATTTGCTGTAGTGACCTCTCCAGGAGCAAGAGTGGGTAGTCAAAGGAACCAAGGTGCCCATTCAGCTGGACTTTTGAAACTGAGTTGTGCATAGCTTCAACCCATCGATCTTTCAGGCATGATTGAATCTGCAGCTGTGAAGGCCATCTTGTGTAGCTCGTGGTGTTATATTTGTCGAACACCGTTTTTGATCCTAACCACGGCACTTTATCATTGATTCAAAAGTCCCCGGATGTTACCAGTCGTTCGTCTTTGGATGGTGTTTGTCAGTTTCGTATTTGTTACTAAAGCTGATTGCCCACTGTTTTTAATGAACACCTCTATCGTCACTGGTAATAATTCACTATTTTCAAATTGCTTCTCCGTTATCGGTTCTCGTTCTAACAATATCCTCCTTACCATCCTCCTCCGTAGTCTAATGATGGACACTCTGTCTTGGCTACAATCGGAGTTACAATCTAGGGTTCAACCAGCCTCGAAGTCTGTTTGCAATACAAAATCTGCTGCCAAACATCGACTACGATCCCCCAGCGCAATACGCGTATAAGTTCCATCAATACGCCATCTTCTATGTCCTGCGGGAATTCGACTGTCATTGTCAGCGTCTAACCAACCATCCTGCTGTATCTTGTGCATACCTCCGCATGTCTGTTAAATGACCTCAGTTACATTGCATTTATGTCTTCCTGCCAGCGATATTCTTCCACTGTCGTCTTCCCTCTTTCATTTCCCACCATCCTGTTTTTTTACACGCGACATCTTTAGTCACCGTATCCGTTTAACCCAGCTCACACTTGCTTTGGTTTAACTTCCAGATGACAGTTTTGTTTCTTTTGTTTACCCTCACCTGTATATTTGATTTGTACCGCCCATCTTTGAGCTTCCTACAGTGTTTTCCAAATAGTTTCATCCGGAACGCACACTCCCCCCTCGTCATATCCATTGGAAGGTTTTACTCACCTATTCCGTATTTTCCATGTATTTGTACTGACGTGGTTGTATATTCACTGAGTAAATGAAGAAACAAGACATTTAAATATTCCATCAAAATATTGCCTCTTTCCTCTCGAAAATAGTTTTATCTGGGAAATGTGATAGGCATGTTAGCTCAATTTCAGACGTTGAATTACGTAGACGATCTTGTCCGCTTTACTTTTTCGACGACCTCAAATTAAATTTTGCTCGATTCACACGGAGCGTTGTCCACAATGCTGAAGTTCCCCAGTAACGTGGACCTTTTCTCTAGTCCAAAAGCAGCACTGAATAACGTAAATAATTCGATCCATTTGCGTTACTCCGGACGCGGTCTGCGCGCACTCCCAGACGACTTTTCTCGCCAGTTCTTTTTCTACTGAGGTGTTAGCTTGTGCATCTGTGATTCAACGAGCTACACAGGATAGCTTTTGTCAGTTTGAAGATCTAATCATGCCCAGAAGATCAAACTAAGTCCAGTTTCCGGGTTGGGGTTTCGACTAAAATTTGTGTCTCAGTCGGTAAAAATATTGCAGGAGTAATTGGTCCAAGTAAATGTGCCTCCACTCCATCTCACCCGCTTGTAGTTGGGTTCTTGTCAGAACCAAAGGCTTTGGTTGGGAACCCTAATCGTTCTCCTGCTTAGTCGCTGGGCGCCAATGAGCTACGCAGACACAAAAGAATTCTATGCCGCATTGTCGTCGTGCAGGATAATCTTCTGACCCGTAACATCACATCAGGCAGCTTGTTTGCCATTCGTCAAAGGTCGTTGACAAATGGCACTGTAAGTAGTTAACCAATAAATACATTGCATATTCATTCAGCCTGAGGACTGATGCAGGTAGGTCAACAAGCGTGTCTTGCGCGTAAAATAGACTCTGGAAATCTGTCTGTTGTGTATCGGAGATACAAATTATGTCTTATTTGTACAAGCCATCTGATTGCACCGGGTCTGTCCTCGAGATACCTCCTTCGCACATTGGAAGATGATGAAGCCTGCTCTTTGGGTCAGCGTGGTGTGGGGATCGTACTAAACGATAAAACTGAAGCTTCACTGATAGATGGGATAACCGTCAACGCTCGTTTGTGCGCAATGAGGCAACAACAAACGGTGCTTCATTTCCGCACATGCACTAGCCAACTGCAGTCACAATTCACAAAACTGAGTTTTACAGCAAACTCACCGAGCTCATCCGTTTGAGACGCAGCTCTGATGTCATAGTGCTGACAGGTGGTTTTACTTGCAGATGGGAAAACTAAGCGCATCCAAAGCCTGTCTAGAGGGGCACTTCGCTCTTCTCGCCTAGCGAACAGAAAATGGTGATCGACAACCTCAGTTCAGCGCGATCATCGGCTGTCCTCATATGGCACCGTATTTCGACACCTCGTCGGGCAGTAGTATGGTGTTCTAGTTCACCCAAATTGATCACATAGCTGTAAGCTACCGTTGGTGTGACTCAGTACGAAATTCCTGATCCGATGGGAATACCTGCATCGAGTCTGATTATGCGCTTCACACTTCGGCTCATCGGCAAAGACCGCCTTCTCAGTTAGCTCATCATCGTCTGCGCGATCCAACTGTTGGCGATCGTTATGAGGAGGAGCTAGGAGCACCACGATATGGTGGAGTAGACCACAGTGGGATCAAGTTAGATTTGCAATGCATTTGGCAGCAATCTTTGCTTGTGGGACCGAGCCTGAAGACACTGGATTTCTCAGGAGTCAGTAATCCTGATGGAACAAAAGTTAAAGGTTTCAACTTGCCAGAATCCACATAGGAGCGCCTGCAACATCAGCCCAAGAAAAACCTTAAGAGAGTTCGCGAAAACTGATGGGTCAAAATAGCTAGTGTAATGGAGGCAGTTTCATCGAGGAAAGTCAAGCTGTTTCATCTGGTGGTAAGCAGCAGCGGAGGTCAACGCCTATCGGACATTGAGACATTTTGCGATAAAAGTGGACAGAGTATCCACTATAAATAACAGCGTTCTGGTCACTAGGCAGAGTAGTTTAGTGAGCAATTCAATTGACCTGGTGCTAATGCGGTTATTCCGACAAGTGCATGGGTGTTAACATGTGAGCCTCAAGCAGAATTGGAAGTACGAAACTGTATTCAATCATTAAAGAAAGGGAAGGCTGCGGGGCCTGATGGTCTTCTCCCCATTCTTTTCAAGCTGGGTGGTGGCTCTCTCGTCGACCAAATTATCATCTTACTTCGCAGCGTTGATTTGGTGATCGTATCCCGGGGTGAATCATTGATTGTTCCGATATTCAGGAAGGTATCATACAAGGGCTGCACAAATCGATCATCACAAAAGTGTTGACTTCTGTGATACTTCGCCGCCTGACACCCTTAAGGGAAAGGATTATTCGCGAACAGCAACAAGGATTCCGACCAGGTCGAGGTTGCATCGACCAAATCGTCACTTTGCGTCAAGTCCTCGAATTGCGCCACACCCATCTTTGACCAACAATCGCAGTTCCTTGATCTAAAAGGAGCCTTTTGGTTCAGTTGCCCATGAATCCCTAATGGGTTCATTGCTTCGCAAAGGAATGCCACAGAATTATGTAAACCTATTGTGATCACTATATCTTCATACATTTGGTAGAGTAAGAGCCTACGGTGGACTAAGTAAATTGTTCGAAACCAGGAGCGGTGTTCGTCAAGGGTGCCCTGTTTCGCTATTCCAATTCAATATCATCGTAGACGAAATAATGGAGAACGCACTAAGTGGTCTCTAAAGTGGAGATATTGAATGGGCAGCTGGAGAAAAGCTGTGCGATTTGGAGTACGCTGACAACATCGTTTGTCTGTTCCAACGTATGGAGGATGCACAAAATACCCTTGATAAACTTTCAAGTTCTGTTACTCCATTCGGAATGCATTTTGCACCTTCCAAGTGCATGGTGATGCTACCGTGTGTTACGGTGACATACGTATTGGCAGAACCGATTGCTGTCTGGCTCAACAAGTGTCATGGCACATCCGTAAAAACATTCGATCGCGCAGTTCATGACTTTAGAGCAGACAAACAAAAGAAGCTCGGTTCCGTTAATTGCAAAGCACATCATGACTACCGATCATCCGGTGGAACTGACTAGGTCGTTCAAAAATTTGTTCCGTCCCGAGGATACCAACTTTCTCTGAAGTGATGATCACTGGGATACCCACAGTGCGAGCTCTTTGTGTGCGAAAGACTGATTCATTGTGTACATATCCGCGCATGCATGTGCGCACGTGTGATTCTCGTCTTAGAACCGTCTGATTCAGTCACCATCTCTTCGAAGACTGAATAATCGATCGACACACCCGCTAGTCGAGGTTCTTCCTTGACTGTGCTGGTTGTGTATAGACTCATGTTTGACAGTGACCGAGGAACGTAAGTAAAAAAATGCTTGCATCTCGCAACCGGGAACCTGCTTCAGTCCGTTCCGTTCCGTTTCAAAAGTGAAGACAGTGAGGACAAGACAATCTGTTCGGCGGATTGGGGATCAGTATGTTTCGTAGACCGTAGGTAGACAGGTGCTGTGATATACCTTTGGATGACAGCATGCTAAGATATCAGTGAATTGGGGTGTGAAATGTCTGGTGCTCACCGAATGGTTATTGCGGGCTTTGCTATACTCCCCGTCTCATTCCGGATGTGGACGGATCCGAATAGGTCTGTATACAATACGGTACGAATTCATAAGTCACTCCTCACCCTATTGTATTTATATAACTTACGAAGATGTTTTCCAATTCGTTGAAAACAGAGAGACAAAACACGGCGAGATGTTATAATTTCATTTTTAATCTACTCAGTTGCTACAACGCAAACCAATCTGGTATTCATACAAGAAAGTTTTCATAACTACAGTGGTTTAACAGCTGTACTATTTCTCGGTTTTCCTACCCTACTTGAGAGAAAAATATCTCTCATTAGTTTCCATATCTATAAAACTCCTTTCTCGATATGGTGGCGTTAGCCAGAAATATCCTGGTTGATTTTATCGTGCGTAAGATTAGCTGAGAGAATCTTGAACAACGAAGATCACTGATTGCTCAACGAACTTCTTAAATCCGTATCAACCCCCCGTACTCACTCCCATTATAGGCTCCTTCCAGCATCTATCGCCGAATCATGATTTAGCATCCTCTCTCTTATTTTGCCCATTTTGCAATGAACCGCGCACCAATTATTATCGGCCTGGTGGAACATCCCATGCGATAGTTTAGTTATTAATTTGTTAAACTGTTAATATCGTGCCTGGTGCTTCTTAACAATCGAATGGGCTAATCCAAGCTTGCTACCGTCAATCATACTATTGTCTTCTTGCCCACAGTGTGCTGTCGTTTTCGTTTACCCCCTTCACTTCTGGTGAATATCGCTGAAAATTCAACCTCTCNTCGGGTGCATAATCTGACAACAGTTAGCGGAGAGGAGAGGGAATCAGTTCTAGAATCTGTCACTCGGTAATTTAACTGAATGCATCAGAAACATCTCGCAGTTTTTGCCCGCTCTGCTTCCTAACGAATTAGAGAAACGGGACCACCTAATGTTTCATACTTGTATTTTATTCAACGTGAAAAGTGTC